CAAAAAAAAAAAATAAATAAATAAATAAAAAATAAAAAAGAAAGAAAACTCACCCTTTGAGGGTCTGAGGGCAGGAAGCTAAGGCACTAGCTTGGCTGTGCCTGGAGCAGCCAGAGTTACCCCCTACCCTGCCTGTTCCTCAGTCTTCCATCCCACACTCCAGGTCTCCACCCAGCCCATCTGGCACAAGACAGAGCCAAAGGCTGCCTCCTGCTGACTCATACCAGGCTTTGGCTTCTGGGACCTGGCGTCTTTGGATCTGGATTTGTTTCTTGCAGACCTGGATGAGGAGCTGCTGAGAATTCTCTATGTGTTGTCAGAGACCCCTCCTTTTCCTCAACTCCCTCTTACCCCTATTTCACACACCTGGAGGGAAGCAAAGGACACGAATTGTCACCCTGGAAATGGAGCTGGATTGCTAGGAGGAACAGGGAGTGTCTGCTACTGAGTTCAGGGTTTCTTTTTTCTTTTTTTGAGACAGAGCCTTGCTCTGTTGTCCAGGCTGGAGTGCAGTAGCATGATGTCAGCTCACAACCACTGCCTTTGGGTTCAAGTTATTCTCCTGCCTCAGCCTCCTGAGTAGCTGAGATTACAGGAGCCCGCCACCATGCCTGGCTAATTTTTTGTATTTTTAGTAGAGACGAGGTTTCACTATGTTGCCCAGGCTGGTCTTGAACTCCTGACCTCAAGTGATCCACCTGCCTTGGCCTCCCAAAGTGCTGGGATTATGGGGGTTCAGGGTTTCTTTAATTGTTTTTTTTTTTTTTTTTTTAGACAAGGTCTCACTTTGTCACCTAGTCTGGAGTGCAGTGGTGCGATCTTGGCTAACAGGAAACTCTGCCTCTTGGGTTCAAGTGATTCTCAGCCTCAGCTTCCCAAGTAGCTGGGATTACAGGTGTGTGCTACCACCACGTCCAGCTAATTTTTGTATTTTTTCCAGTAGAGATGGGGTTTGCCATGTTGGCCAGGCTGGTCTCAAACTCCTGAGCTCCGGTGATCTGCCCACCTTGGCCTGCCAAAGTGCTAGGATTACAGGCAGAGGCCAGCCTAATTTTAAATTTTTTTTTTTTTTTAGGACGAAGTCTTGCACTGTTGCCCGGGCTGGAGTGCAGTGGTGCGATCTTGGCTCATTGCAACCTCTGCCTCCTGGGTTCAAGCAATTCTCCTGCTTCAGCCTCCGAGTAGCTGGGATTACAGGCGTGTGCCACCATGCCCAGTTAATTTTTATTTGTATTTTTACTAGAGATGAGGTTTCGCTATGTTGGCCAGACTGATCTCAAACTCTGGACCTTTTGATCCGCCCACCTCAGCCTCCCAAAGTGCTGGGATTATAGGCGTGAGCCACCGCGCCTGGCCTAAATTTTTAACTTTTTAAATTGTCTTTAGATATGAGGTCTTGCTCTGTCACCTAGGATGGAGTGCAGTGGCTTGGTTATAGCTCACTGCAGACTCAAACTCCTGGACTCAAATAACCCTCCTACCTCAGCTTTCTGAGTACCTAGGAACACAATAGTGAGTTTTTAAACTTTTTTATACAAACAGGGTCTTGCAATGTAGCTTAGGCTGTTCTCGAACTCCCAGGATCAAATGATCCTTCTTTCTTGGCCTCCCAAAGTGCTGGGATTATAGGCTTGAGCCACCATGCCTTGCCTTGAGTACAGGATTTTTTTTTTTTTTTTTTTTTTTTTTAATATATGGAGTCTCACTGTCACCCAGGCTAGAGGCAGTGGCACAATCTTGTGTCACTGCCACCTCCACCTCCGGGGTTCAAGTGATTCTTCCGCCTCAGCCTCCTGAGTAGCTGGGACTATAGGCACCCGCCACCATGCCCGGCTAATTTTTTGTATTTTTAGTAGTGATGGGGTTTCACTGTGTTAGCCAGGATGGTATTGATCTCCTGACCTCATGATCCGCCCACTTCAGCCTCCCAAAGTGCTGAGATTACAGGTGTGAGCCACGACGCCCGGCCGAGTACAGAAGTTCTTTATGGGGTGATAAAAATGTTCTGAAATTGGTTGTGGTGGTAGTTATTTCAACAGAAGATTCCCAAAGTAAGCTGGTTTATTTAAAAAAATAACAGCACGAGGTCAAGAGATCGAGACCATCCTGGTCAACATGGTGAAACCCCGTCTCTACTAAAAATACAAAAAATTAGCTGGGCATGGTGGCACGTGCCTGTAATCCCAGCTACTCAGGAGGCTGAGGCAGGAGAATTGCCTGAACC